ACTTGATGGCACGTAACAACAACACACATTGCACAAATGTAGCACCCTGGTATTCTTTTTAAGTTATGTGAATGATAAATTTTTTGAGAACATGTATTACTAAAGTATGGTTTAAAAGAACATCAAATTCATGTCTTAAGTGTTATTATTTTTTAAACTCAAGTCATTACTTTATTCAAGTTGTTTTAGAATGATAGCAAAATCTCACTGTTGTTTGGGGAATTTCAGGAACAGAGAATGGTATTCACAGAAACTCACTGTGAAATTGCCACCTGCAGTTTTGCACTCTTAGAAGTCTAGCTACTTCTGCCTTACCATTCTTTGGGGACTCATATGCCTGCTTTTAGCAGCTATAAAGGTACATCCATTGCCAACATGGGGCTTTACTTTTCCTACTCAACTGTAATCTGAGTGTAACAAACAGTTTTCCCCTGGATCTGTAATCAGCTGTGAAAGTTTAAACAGATGAAGCTTTACTAGAGAAAAATGCACACAGTCTGAAGAAAAATATAAGCATTTAAACAAGGAATGTAACAGGGACATGGTGGCACTGGGGGTTAAACCGCTGAAGCCTCTGTGCTGCAAGGTCAGAAGACCTGCAGTCATAAGATTGAATCCACACAACGGAGTGAGCCCCCGTCGCTTGTCCCAGCTACCGCCAGCCTAGCGGTTTGAAAGCATGCAAAATGCAAAAATGTGAGGAGATAAATAGGTACCACCTCGGTGGGAAAGTAAACAGTGTTCTGTGTCTAGTCACGCTGGCCACGTGACCATGGGGGATTGTCTGCGGGCAAAACGCTAGCTCTATGGGTTGGAAATGGAGATGAGCACCACCGCCTAGAGTCGGACACAACTGAACAAATTGTCAAGAGGAACCTTTACCTTTACCTAAACAAGGAATGTAGTTTTGTGAAAGAGTCGACAGACCTACAGAGAGAAAAAAAAAGCTATCACTTGTTACTCATTAGATCAAAACATCAAATCAGGATAGTAAAAAAAAAAATCATTTAGGACAACTAGACTCAGAAACCCAATAATGGCACATTCTGAGTGCTTGGAAGATACAACAGAGGAGCAGCAGGAGTTGTAACCTTGAGGAAGAGATGAGCTCAACACATGACAAATATACAGATGTTTGTTGTTTCACATAAACCAGTTATGGTCAATGGCTCTGATTTATTGCTGCTCCCATCTCTTTTCTATTTTGAAGTGGATACTTTGAAAGGAATATTTTATTTGCATTAGTTGTAGCTGTCCGTAAATATTGCTAGCTAGTGTCTTTCTTCTTTAGAAATCTATTAGTGGAATACAGCTCTAAAGACCCAGAAGAAGTAACTAGAATGTAAGTGCTCAGCTGCATTGTAAACACACAATTATCTCTCTCTCTTTTTAAGGGTATTATTTACTTAATAGTCTCTAATAGCTGTTTTAAGGACCATAGTCTATCATGTCAGGGTCTGTAGTTAAGACAACAGTACTTTTAGTTTGTAGATCATTGACCCAGTGGAATATAATGGTGCCTTTTTGAGTGTTGGAGCGTATCAGGTCAGAAGAAAGGGGGGGGGGGAATTCAAAATAATTAAATCCTACAGAAATACTAGGAGGGAAGGGGCCTTCATCTGTGCTTATTTGCATCACCTCAAAAAAATCTCCTCCATTACACTGAACAGAATTTAGGTAGTGAGCAGTACAAACAAATTGTCAGTATTGCGAGTTAATGAAGTTGCCAGCAAAATTGCATTCCCAAAACCAAAATATGTTACTGCAGAGAGGATCATGATTTAAAATGTTGGTGTCTTAAAATCAGGTTTAAATTAATGCTTCAGTAGGTTACATGGGGAAAAGTAAAACCAAACTCCAGAGAATATGCTTGGATTATTACCTGATCCTAGTATACTACTGCTGCTTTTACTGCAGTAACCTTGAATGTTTGTGGTTTATTATTTCTACTCTGTACCTTGCTATAGCTGAAGGCTCTTGCAGCGAATGCTAGATTTCTCTTCTTGCCATCCCATGTTTGGTGTGTCGTGCTCTTGTAATAATGTAGTTGTGCTGTAATGACATTTGAATATGCAAAGATGCAGACCATATGGAAGCAATGCAGGCCAAAATATTTTGTTGCTTCATGGAAAGGGCATGATGATACTGCTCCTTTCACAGACATTAACTGACTGGACTGGCTGTTGAATCTTTCTTCAAGAGGAAGGGATAGCATTTCTATTGCATCCATAGAGCCTAGGGGAAATGGGTAATTTGTGCCAAGCAGTTTGTGCTATCTTCTAGTACAGTGGCGGTTGTTTCAACTCCAGATGTATCTCAGGAAGTCGGTGCATGCGCTGGTCATTTCCCGGATCAAGTAATGCAATGCTCTCTACATGGGGCTTCCCCTGAAACATGGAGACTAAAATGAGTCCAGAATGTGGTGGCCAGACTAGTAACTGGTGTGAGCAAATCTGATTACATCACTACAGTTCTGACTTGTCTCCACTGGCGACCCATTGTGTCCCAGATCAGGTTCAAGATGTTGATGCTCATATGTAAAGCCCTGCATGTTATTCACTGTCGGAATGTCTTTTCCCAATGTTATCTGCCCAATCCTCCAGCGCTGCTTCCCAGACTAAACTCCTTCAGGTCACCACCTTGAGGATGGCCCAGAAGTCGTCCACAAGAGAGATCGGCCAGCGCTGCTTCCCAGACTAAACTCCTTCGGGTCACCACCCTGAGGGAGGCCCAGAAGTCCTCCACAAGAGATTGAGCCTTCTTTGGGATGGCTCCAGTGTTGTGGAACCTGGTGGAGCTGCACTTGGCCAGCTCCCTGCTGACATTCAAAAGACAAAACACTGCTATTCAGGAAAGCTTTCCACACCAACCCTATTTAATTTCAGTCTTTCTGTCCCTGTTCTGCCATCATTTAGATAATTGTTCTTGGTGCCACTTGTTTTTATTTATTAATAATTTCATTTTCCTTAAATGATTATTCAGCACTGTATGTTTTAATGATTATTGTAAACTTCCCAGAGTAGTCTATATAAATTAAAACCAAGTCAATCAAATTAACAAACAAAATACTGTCCCATACTGCTAGAGCACCCTCTGGGTGATTTACAACATATTTATGCAAACAGTACTTTGTCCCCCCCCCTCCACTCCAATGAGCTGGCTGCTCATTGTAATGACCCCGGAAGGATAGAGGAGTCAACCTTGAAATGGTTGCTTCAACCCATTGACATTGAACTCATATCATGATCAGAAGTTTGATGGCAGTGCTGCAGTTTAATCACTGTGCCATGTACCTTGGGTAACCCAGGTGTTCTTAAATTCTTAACTGTTAGAGCTGTATGACAATGGAACCAGTTACATCAGAAGGTGGTGAGCACTCTAATGCAGGACACATTCAAGAGAAAATTGGGCAACCATCTTTCAGATTTGCTTTGATTTGGACTCCTGCATTGAGCAGGAGTTGGACTCAGTGGCCTTATAGGCCTCCTCCAACTCCATTATTCTTTGATTCTATAAATGCCTGAATAGGGCCTTAGTAATATTACTGCTAACAGGTGCAAGAAAGTCATTCTGTCAGGATACCAGAGACAATAATACTAGTAGTATGAGGAGGAAAAGCAGAATGACTGTGTAGGGTTCTAACACTCTCTTTAACTTGATACTTGTGATTTACGTTTCTGTGATGCACATTCCTTTCCTTTACAAAATAGTAAAGGTTCCATACTGCCTCAGTTTTCCTGTGGTTTGCCAATGAGTACAGTTGACAATAGTAATCTAACTGCAACATGTCTTGGGGTCATTTGTTTGTTAATAGTAATGTATACTCATCAACCTCATTCTGTGCATTATGGCACCATGCCAACACAGGAAAATGGCATTGTGCCCATCTAAACAGCTGATCCAGGAACCTCAGTGACTTTTAACATTGTTAACGACATTATTTGCAGAGCAATTTTCAGAGGAAACGAGAGGAACAAGGATACAAATCTTTGAGTGCCTGAGTCTGCCAAGAAACAAGGTCCCTACATGTTTCATGTTTCTATTTTATTTACAAACAACAATTTCTAGGATTCTGTCACATTTATTATCTTAATTAACAAACAGAAGCCAAGATGAGGCAATAACAATATAGTCAGTTTTAAAGAGCTGGAAAAAACAAAAAAACCAACAACACAGCAATAATCATGCAACTGGATTGCACCCTATGGTGGTGCATCATTGCAGATCTAAGTTTGCAACTAGTGTCCAAGACAGGATGTCACAGGATGCAAACCTAAGGATTTCGTATTGTTTTTGCGTCTGACAATAAGGCTGGTCATTGTTAATAACTGGAAATCTATAGATTACTTGACAATTAAATATAAATAAAATAAAATAAAATAAAATAAAATAAAATAAAATAAAATAAAATAAATAAATAAATAAATAAATAAATAAATAAATAAATAAATAAATAAATAAATAAATAAATAAATTTCCCTGTGGCAATCAAGAATTTGGCAATTAGCACTAATGGAAAAATTAACTTTTCACGTTGGCTTCTTAAGATCTATGTAAACTTGCCTTCCTTGATACTTGACTTTCTTTTATATAATATGCAACTCCATTGGATGGTTCTCCACCTCTAGACACAGCCTTTGGGGTTTATTTATCATAGAGATCATTTAGATTAGTATTTTCTCAATGATATGAATATTCATTTACATTTTCATATGCCGGCTTCCTTAATAAATGCGTTTTGCATTCAGCTTTCTCTAATGCACAACTTTTATTCAACTTTCCCTAATACACCCATTTTTGTACACAATGTTTCAGCTGCAAACAGCATCACAGAATTTAGACATGGATACCGTTTGTCTTCTGATCTGCATATTCATCCAAGAAGGATGTGTTGTTTTGGGCCATGGAAAAATGGAAGCAAGCAAAAAAAAAAATTGTTTCCTTACGAAACGATGACCAGTAGGATAGTAAAACTCTTTGGATTTCCCCCTCCCCTCCAGATTTGCGGAAGACGTTTGAGCAAGAACCACTTGGGAAAGAAGTATCTTTAGAACAGGAAGTCCTGCTCCAGTGTCGCCCACCCGAAGGAATCCCAGTAGCTGAGGTGAGTGACAACAGCTTTCTTTTAAGGGGGGTGGGGTGGGGTGAACCAACACAGTTATTCTAACTGAGGACTAATCTGTGGCTAATGGTGCAGTGAATTAGGGGATGGCATGATAAATGGGAGGTAATGGAGATCTAACTGCCTGCTGCTGGTAGAATAGATTGATTGGGAACTGATTAATGACTTCAGAGTCAATTAGAATGCCCCAGTAGGCAGAGCTGCAGGGCGTTTAGTTTCATTTTTTTTTGCTCCCTTTACAAGAAACAAGAACACAGCAAAATCCTATCTGTTATCTCTAAGCCAAACACTGGGTAGGATTTATTAATGCATCTCTGTTACCTCCCACCCAGCCATCCTCATCTTTTCTAACATGCTATCAGTGAAACAACAAGCTTTCACATGCATAATTAAAACATTTAAATAAAAGTACTTTGTTTTATTGCTATGATTTTGCAAATTGTGAGTCATTCGGGCTGTGTAACTTTAAAAATGCACATGCTGTGATTTGATACAAAGCTGGAACAAAAGAAGAGTATAATCCATCGTTTAATGTTCCATGTCTGTTTTACTTAATGGCAATTAAAAACACATGAGGGTATTCTTTTGTCTTTCCTGTGTAACTGGCCCTACCAAGAAGAAGAAGAAAAGAAAAAAAAACCATGAAACATTCAGAATGGGGATCCCATATGTTAAAAAAAAGACTGTCTTCACCTCACATACAAACACATTCACAAACACACAAGGTAGCCATGCTGCTTACTGCTTCTTGGATTGCACACAATGCAGTATTACTAGCTAATGGTATTTATGGCTTGAAAAGCTTATCCAGTAGTCATTAAAACAATGAACATGGACTAAAACAGGATTTTGGGGGAAACCAAGTTCATTGTAATCAAAAAAGCAAGTGGCCCAAGAAATGCAGTTAAAGATCAAAATGGAATTGTGACTCCATTTCCCCACACTTGTTCTCCATTATAAATCATTCATTAGGCTGTTTCCATCCCAAAACTGTTGGCAAGTATTCTGAAATGTGGTTGAAAGAGCAGTGGATCATAGCCATGAAGTGGAAATCAGAGTATAGATGGTCCAAAGTAGCTTGTTTAAGATAAAGAATGCAATGTGCTAAACAACCTTAATAGTCATTTTGAGAAGCTACATGGTAAAGTTCTACGTATTTGCGGTTCTGCTGCATGACATGGATTCATGGACATTAATAGCAGTTATTATGAAAATATAGAAGTATTTGGAATGGGGATTGATCACACTACGTTAAAAATGTCTTGGATTAAGAGGAAAGTCAACCAAAAAAGTATTAAGACAAACTTAGAGAGACAAATAAATCATAAAACGTTTAAAATGCAGAAATCTAGAATACTTCAGCCACATAATGAGGGATGAAAGTTATGGATTGTTCATCCAAGGGAAACTAAAACCAGGGTGTGTGTGCAAGAAGAAGAAGAACTTCTTTTCTGAAAAACTATAAAGAATATTTCAGATGCAGCAAACTTCAGTGCTACTGCCTCCAGGGTCAGAATGGCCAAACTGTAGGAGAGGAAGAAATGCAGAATTGTAGCAATACTCCAGCTCCAAAGGAAGGCATTTGGACTGCAGCTATGCCTAACAGGACCTGGAGCACTTGACTGCAGAGCCAGGTGCTAAGTGTTGACTTTCCACTGTGCCATTCAGGAGAAGAGACAGTCAGTGTGGCCTTGGGCACGCTACAAAGTCATGGAGTGTCCCACCAAAAAAAAAAAAAAAAGGTAAATAATCTCTGAAAACTCTATACTTAGGAAACTGTGAAAGAATTGCCTTCAATCAGAACCAACATAATTGCACATAAGGATTAAACCAAACTCAGTGAGAGTAAAAGAATCAAGCTCAGTTTTGGGATGCAAAATGGAGAATGAGTTTGGGGAAATGGAGCCATATGGGTTTTTCTGGTGACTTTAAATAGCATTGACCCTGGTGTCCTTTTGGTGGGGTGGCTCTGTTGGGTTTGGGAGTTGCAATATTGTAGCCCTTCCTAGAGAAAAATTAGCAGAACCTAGTGCTTCTGTTCTACCAGGTAGCCTTTGGACTGTTTCTCATGATTTTAAATAGCAGGGAAATGGCAGGGAAAAATCATATGATCCATTATTGGGAGAAAGGTGGCATATAAATAAAACAAACAAATTTTATGTCAACGACATGCTGATAACATGTAACTCTATCAGTTTTCAACCTACACATCCCAGGGAGGCTACAGAACAGTTTAACAAGTGTCAAGGAAAGTTGTAGGATGAATGAGGTTTTATAAAATAAAGCTTTATCCAAGTCAGGATGGAAGTGGCTAGGAAAACCAGCCCATCTGGACAGAAGTGTGCCATCAGTTTTGGATGGGGTTATAACATCCCTGAGAGGTAGGTTTGCAGTCTGGATTTTCTAGCTGGGCACTGCTTGTGGTGGTGGTAGCTTTCTTCCATATCCCGGCTATGAACCTGTTTTGAGAAAGCAGATCTGCCTTCATACATGCATGCATTCGTTATGTCATTTGGCTGCTTACATATTGTTTACTGTTCAAACTTGGTCTAGAAAGGTGGCCAATGAATACTGTAAATATGAAGTCCTGTTGATGTTAGCGGCAGAATGATGTACACATTTAACTATCTCCCTTTCAACCTCAAGTGGAACATTAAGCACATGTTTAATGTAGTTAAGAAGCTGAACTAGTACAGGTTTAAGTATGATTCTCTGAGGTAGTTGAACTGAAATGCTTGAGTTTGTGCCCTGTTTCTCTTGCTCCATTGACTTGGAAAAAGGTAGTTGAACTGAAATGCTTGAGTTTGTACCCTGTTTCTCTTGCTCCATTGACAGATGTCACAATATTTCTACAAGGATGGTAAATTAAAATCAGTGGTGTTTAAAGTTACTAGGCGAATTACATCCATGTACAGTTTCTGGCATCCCATTTTTCCAAACTTAGTACATATGAGAAACTTGCGTTCACTAAGAATGTAAATAATTGGAGAATATGTTATCAGTCACAAGATTCTTTCAATATATATAACTTGCAGAAAGGTGAAATATATTTTTGCTGATCAACAAAAAACTTGGTTTTTAACAATGCTTAATGTTCCCTACTTCAGAATACTTCCTTTCATTTCGCTGTCGGCAAAATGCAGAAATCTTGCCAGCTTGCATAAGGTCTAGTTGAAATGTCATTGTTAGCAACACGATGCTTGTCATTTGCTTCCATGGCTGATTTCTCTGAAGACTTACCTGAGCTTCACTTTGGAGCCACTGCCTCAAATACATCAAAATTTTCAGCAAAAGTGTCTGGAAATAAGAGAAGAATAACAGCTGAAATCTTTTTGCTTAGTGTAGTAAATTACAAGTAGAGGAGGCCTGTTGAATCCGTGGGGATTTTGTAAGTCGACTCTTCCACAAGTTTCATTGATTCAGTGAGCTTACTCTAGTTGCAAATTGCTACACTAAGCAACAGCATTTCAGCCAATGTATGATTAATCTTATTTTATTCCAATGTTTTATTTCCTGAGATGGGATGGGATTAATAATTTATTGCAAAGATGGGTTGACTTCTAGTAAACCCAGTTCATGATGACTGTAGTATTAATCACTTGCTGTTCTCTAGAATATATCAGTATCTCTGCCTCTGAATGTCTTACCAACCAGCTGTTTCACACTGACAAGAATATTTCTAACAGGCACATCATATCAGTGATGCATGGTGGTACTTAGGGACTTCATTACCTTTGCTAGGAGTGGAGATTACTCCTGACTGGCAGATTGTCTGTGTGCAGCATTATGCACATAACACACATCATACTTCCCACTGTCTTATTGCAGAAACCAGAAGTAGAAAACCTGACTGTGTTCCTTATGGTGAGGGATGGGGAGTAACAGGATGAATTACAGAAAGAAAGTTCTAACTTTAGTTACATGCATCCTGTCAGGAAACATTAGGATTTCTAAAGAAAAAGATTCTTGCAAGAAATAAAGTTTTGAATATTTTAAAAGATAACAAAAGGGGAAAAAACATTGCAATACACAAACCAGATGTTTACAGATGCTATGTGCTTTTAACCAAACCACTAGCCAGAGCAAGATATATAGACAGCAATGTCCCTCTATTTTTCCACTACTGTGGGGCAGAAGCCCTGCCCACACATGTGGGGTTCTGGCTGTGACCAGAAGCAAGTGGATGGCAACTGTGGTTTGGCTACGTGGCCCTGACCCAGCACTGTATGTCCCTGATCCAGTGCTGCTTAGACAGAACATTGGTAGGCAGCAAAGGACATTTTTATTTAATGAAGTGCTGAACTACAGGTAGTATTAGTTGCCATACATTATCTCTGCACCCATTTATATCATAATGTCATGTAGGAGGTTCCAGTGTTTCAAGCAATGAGCTTTGTGGCAGTACTGCAGTCAAGCCTCTACCCATAACCTGCAGGAAAGAAATTATCAAGACCTTGGCGCACATCATTTCAGAATGTAGCCTATATAGGATCGAATATCAATATCTTGGATCAATCATGAGTAAATGTATTGGTCTGCCTCCCACAGGCTATCTGAAGTTTCTGTTGTCTGAGGAAAATCAAATAATAGCACAGTTAGTGGCTAAATTTTTATTTTCAGCTATGTGAACTCACAAAACACTATTGCAAGATTGTATACTACACTACAGTATGTACACATATTTTATCTTTGTATAATCGGGTCTATAACTGCATAATAAAACTTTAACTAACTAACCTGAGTTTTATCCCACCATATGCAGGTAGCCAACTCAAGGCTGACTCAGTCTTTCAACCTTTCGAAGTTAGTAAAATGAGTACCTAGACTGTTAGCCTGGAAGAACTAGAAGCCAAATTATTGTTATCATAGCAATTTTCATAATAACATAAATGATATATGACTTTGGTGATTTTCTGGTCCATAGTCAGAATAATGATGTAACCTATGATACAAACTGTTGTAATATTTCTCCAGTTATTTTA